ATTTTTATCCGATTTTGTTGAAACTTGAAATGTAAGTTTATAACCCAAAGGTCTCGGTTGCTTTCGATATTCGCGCATATCGGACCGTAACTTCCTGAATTATGGCCCCTGCTTGTACGAAAAATCGCGTTTTTGGCTTGTGGACCCTATAGAGGTCATACTTTTTATCCGATTTAAAAAAAAAAACGTTTGAATATATCACTGTTACACCCTAAGGATGGTTGAGTTCGAATTTCGTAAAAATCGGACCAAAACTGACAGACAAAATGGCCGCCCCTCGTACTCAAATAGCGTAAAAATATGGTATATCAATGTTGTGGACCCTCTAGAGGTCACAATTTTCTTCTGATTTTGATGAAACTTGAAATGTAAGTTTATAACCCAAAGATCTTGGTTCCTATCGATATTCGCGCATATCGGATAGTAACTTCCTGAAAATTTAATATGGCCCCTGATTGGACGAAAAATCGCGCTTTTAGCTTGAGGTCCCTCTAGATGTCACAATTATTATCCGATTTAAAAAAAAAACGTTCAAATATATATCACCGTTACATCGTAATTTTGGTTGAGTTCGAATTTCGTGAAAATCGGACCAAAACTGCCGGACAAAATGGCCGCCCCTCATACACAATTAGTGTAAATATCTGGTTCCTTTCGATATTCAGGCATATCGGATAGTAACTTCCTGAATTAGAGCCTCTGATTGTATGAAAAATCATGTTTTTAGCTTGTTGTAGAGGTTACAATTTTTATCCGATTTAAAAAAAAACATGTGAATATATCACCATTACACTCTAAGATCTTGGTTCCATTTGATAATCAAGTATATCCGATCGTAACTTCGTGGATTATGGCTCCTGATTGTTCGAAAAATCGCATTTTTGGTTGCGGATTCTCTAGAGGTCACAATTTTTTTTTCCGATTTTAAAAACCGTTTAAATATTTCACCATTCCACCATAATGAAGGTTGAATTCGAATTTCGAAATGAAACTGCCCGACAAAATGGCCGCTCTTTGTACACAAATTGTGTAAAAGTATGCAATACGAAGGTTGTGGACACTCTAGGGGTCACAATTTTTATCCGATTCTGATGAAACTTAAAACATATCTTAATATTCCAAAGATCTCAGTTCCTTTTGATATTTGCGCATTTCAGACCATAACTTTCTGGATTATTGCCCCTGATTGTACAAAAAATCACGTTTGTTTTTAGCTTGTTCTCTATCCATCTCTTGAAAAATGTGGGCGTATCCTGCCTGGCAACCGCTGGTTAACTGTAGAGGCCACTAAGTCACTTTTTAATTCTCTGGTCACTTCACGATTAGATAACTTTAATTCACTTTTAGTTGATTTACCTGATAATATTCTATTACTTACTTTCAAATGTCTAAATAATTTAGTTCCTGTTTACCACTCACAAGAGGTAATTTTTCACTATGGTAACCCATTTTAATAGTCCCGGCGGGGGTTAGTAATAGACGAGTGGACTTTAGATTGTCATTGTCAAATGCTGCGAAGTGTTGGTAGCTAATGGTTCATTCTGTCATTAGCCGACAAGCCCATTTTAGAATACCTTCAAGTTTGGAATTACGCAAGGCAATCGTTATTCCAATGGAGCCTGTACAAATTTAACATTGCTTGATTGAGTATCTCAGATATTTGATAAAAATGAACAAAATGTCAATGGACATGGGTGTTGAACATGGGTGTCGGTATATAACAAATAATAAACATGATACGCTTGACTTGTTAAACATTCCATATTTAATAAAGCACAATATAGTATATTTATATAAATATACGGGCAACTCCCCACACAATCTCTATACTTCTATATATACTCACGGAGTTCTCGTACTGTACTAATACCTAATGGTTGTTGAAGGATTTCGGTTCAAATACTTGTAGTGCCTGGTGAGATTTTATACTAATACATAATTTGTCATTTTGGTACCCTTTCTGTTTTGTTTGTTGCCTTTTTTGAAACAATCGAAAATTAAAAATACAATAAGTAATATTTATGCTTAAGTACCGGTAACTCTTGGGGAGACTCACGTTAACATTATTTGACGATACACTTAGTTTATTAGACTGTGACCAATAATCAATGCTGACCCGTTATATACCATACTAGTCTACATACCTTTCTATAAAAGATAAACCGACTGTGTACGTGACTCTATAATAAGGTCGTCGTTTGGAATAATAAGCGATTTATTTTCGTACCCACATTCAGTTTAAGTGCAAATATTGAGAGAGTTAATATTTTAAAACCCAATTTAAGGTGTAAGGGGGTATATGTATATCATTATTCTTTTAGTGTATATAGGACCAGGAATCAATAGTAAGTTCCTAAATTATGTACGTTTGAAATGATCTGTTCGGTTGTTTAGGTAATAATATAACATGTAACTATATTGGCTATATATATCGCATATTTTTGTCTTTTTATAAAATGTATAATACAGCAGGTAGAGAACAATATCAGCTGATTACCACAATGCTTTATATTATATGGTTGATATCTAGTGTAATTACACACCTCCCATAGCAACTATTGATGTTTTACAACCTTCTGTAAAAGTATGCGGCTGCTTATAGCTTTTGTGTTGATGTGTAAGTCAGACAGCAACCTATTTCTACGGCTGATATTCGAAATAAACTAGCGTACTCCGCCCATACGTTTTTTTTTAATATACTATTCAAAAAAAGTAGGGGATATTTGATTTTTAAGTGTTATTAAAGTCACCTAATGAAACTGGCGAAGAAACAAATGACAAAATGAAATGAAGTTCACATTCATCGATTTATTCCAAATGATCGTTAGACTAAGTAAGGCACAGACTGACCATTATAAGGGTAAAATGATACCCGGGGTCAAACAGCAAAGTTACCACAGCATCACAACCAAGTCAGTAACGGGTAAATCCTCCTCTGTTTGCCAAACAAGCATTGATCCGACGTGGCATACTCCTAATGAGACGTCTAAGGTCATTTTGGTCCAGATTGTCCCATTCCTGTTGCAACGCAGCAGCAAGTTCTTAGACATTGGCAGGACGTTGTTGACGTTGACGTAACCTCTGTCCAAGCATGTCCCAGACATGCTCGATGGGGGAGAGGTCGGGACTCAGTGCTGGCCAAGGTAATGTGGTGATGTTCTGTTGTTGGAGGTAACCTGTAACGATCCTGGCCCTGTGACATCTTGCGTTGTCATCCTGGAAGATGAAACGGCGGCCATGACGTCGTGCGAACGGCACAACATGGACTGCCAAGATGTTGTCCCGGTAGTACTGGCCTGTAACACGCCCTGCAACAACATGTAAAGCCGTTCTTCCAGCAACAGTGATGCCTCCCCACACCATAACAGAACCACCCCCAAATCGATCATGTCTGATGACGTTAACGTCTTGGAAGCGCTCGTTTCGACGACGCCACACCCTCCTACGTCTGTCCAAAAAATCAACAGTGAACCTTGACTCATCTGAAAACATCACATTGCTCCAGGGTCGATTATCCCAGTGTTGACGATCCCTACACCAACGACGTCTTGCCTGAATGTGATGATCTCTCAAACAAGGGATCACGCGAGGACGTCGGGCGCGAAGGTGACCCCTATGCAGTCGATTCCGAATCGTCTGGCCACTCACTCTCACACCAGTGTCTGTTTGAAGACGAGCGCTGATCTGATTTGCTGTGATGACACGATTTCTCAAGGCCAAGGTACGGATAAATCGATCCTGGGCTTGAGTTGTCGCCCTTGGTCGACCTGAGCGTGGTCTGTCCTGTACAGATTGTGTATCACGGTATCTGGACCATAGCCTGCTTATGACAGACTGAAAAACATTCATCGTCCGCGCCACAACCGCCTGTGTTGTGCCGATCTGTAGCATGCCAAGGGCACGTAACCTTTCATTTTGGGTAAGCCGACGCATATCAAAATTTGTTTTCTGGTCACTAAAACAATTAAACTGATGTTTCCACCCTGGAATTCAATGCCACAATGACTGTAACATTCAAAGTCAGATTCGTGCAAATCTTGGGTTGGACCCCCATGATGATCCCAAGCATCACCTGCATTCCATGCAGTAGCTATTGGTGGGTTTGGGCGTCACATGTAACTGGAAATGTTTCTTCTGTTAGGTTCTATAGTGACTTTTTTCGTAGTCATTTGCATATTTTAGTATTATGCCCCCAAAATCAAATATCCCCTACTTTTTTTGAATAGTATATATATATTTGGAATAACAAACTCGAAAGTGGTTGCCACCAACTACTTAGTGCTAATCAGTTCATCAGTTAAGTCAAGCATAAATATAAAGATAGTATTATATACAGGTTATCGTATAAGCATATAAATATAAGGAGATGAACATGATTAATGTAAAACATCAGTAAATGGTAAGTAAAATGTTCTATAATTGTATGTTTTCAGTTGTTTGGTTTTTTTTTGGGGGGGGGGGGTCATTTTTACGTTTTTCTGACATATTTTTTAAATATACTGAGACGCAATGAAACTTCTTGACAACATCGGCACATTATCAGGCAACATTTGCAGGATCGCACTGATCTGTTGCTATGCGTCCAAATGACATGAGCTCATGAATGCCGACACTGCACTGACTTAAACCGTGACAGCGGTTAACAATTAGAATGCAAGGCGTGGTTGACATACCTGTAAAAGAAAGTCTAAATTTTGTAATTAGCATAGTATAGTATACAGAGATATCTGGCTTTATGGTCCTTTTCCCACCGGCGATTGACTATTGGGAAGGGTGATATAAACCGGTTTTATTTCACGCGCTGATAAGTAATAGGTAAATGTTAAGGAACATGATATAACATACATGTACATCAACATGTTGGTAAAACAAATTTCTATCTTCCAATACATTATGTAAGATTTAGATAAAGAGCTAGCCATTCTTGCTATTATAGTTTGAAGATAGATAATGCGAAATGAATATATTGATAATTTTATTCAAATTACTCTATTGCGAGCGAAGGTTAAAGGTGTGTGTATTAATTGTAACCATCGAACTGGTTGTTCGAAGCTAAGTCTCGCTTCTCCATCTTTAAATTAAATCAAATATGGCTGAACCGTTCTAATCTACTTTTAAATATTTGAGATATCCGATGTTATCGAGAGTTGATTATGGTCTTGGAATGTTAATAAATGTCTAATTAATAGTTTTTATCACATTACAGGCCGAAAGAAAGACCTGCAAAGAGCAGATTTAACTCTTGCATAATGTATGTTTAATATTATTCCATAATGTATATACATTTAGACAGGTAATTAGACGGGAATTAAAATTACAGTCAATGGGAAAGTTGTTGGTGATCCGAGGACGTGTATTGTAGGGTGGTGAGGGTCGCCTCCGGTCCCTCCGGTGTCCCCCAACTGCTAAAGATCATATGCGCAAGTGAATTATTAAACTGGATTTGCACCATATGTTAGTCCTCAAATGACCAGGTTTGTGTCGATTGAACGTTAAACCCTCTCTCGTCGTGGGGGGTTGGATGGCTGAATGGTAAGCGTCCGCGCGCTGTATCATAAAGTCTGTCATTGAGTCGACTGGCGTGGTTTCGAATCCGCGGTTGTACGTGACAAGGAGTAGGGTCGCCTGTCCAACCTCGTGGGTTTTCTCCGGGTCCTCCGGTTTCCTCCCACTGCTAAAGACCCCTACGCGCAAGCGAGTTGTTGAAATAAAATTAAACCATGTGTTAGTCCCGAAATGACCTAGTTTGTGTCGAGTGGACGTTAAACCCCATTTCTCTCTCTCTCTCTCTCTCTCTCTCTCTCTCGTCGTTTCAAGTGCTTGTATCTGACAAGGAGTAGGGGTTGGGTATACCTCCGGGCTACCCCCACTGCTAAAGACCCCAATCTCTTTCTCTCAACGTTAACTCGTGGAGTGATTAATGACGTTAAGCTGATTAGATTATAAATTAATTTGTAGCAATTGTTGATAATATAAACAAGCACAGGTTGCCAAGTATCAAATAAAGGAACTATTTAAAAGATTTGATAGTAACCCCCATGAAAGAAGAAGAAAAACAATCCTAGTATTCGTATATTACATTAATTAGGCTGAAATATCACTCAAGGTGGAAGCGGGGGTAAATCTATTTAATTAGTATTGTACTAGATCATGTCTAGTTAATTAAAAGGAAACGTAAAGTACTGAATACTTACATGTACTAAGTAAAGTAATCTTCTGTAAACACCATTTCGAAAAAAAATCTTGAGGCTTGATAACTAACACTTAAACGTTATGTAAGTATGTATGTTATTTTAAACGCGTCCTCTTGTTGTTGCCAACTAATTGTACAGTTATCTTCCATAGAAGCTATTTTCAGATGAACAGTGTAACCTTGATATCGCCATATCTCATTATTTTTGGAAAGTTATTTTCGTTGTTTTAGAAAATGACAGCTTTTGATTACTCGAGCTAATACAATACGTTGTTTTCCAAAACATCTTAAATTACCGCTTTTAATATATTCCAACAGGGCTTCATCTGTATGTGGATATATTGTGCACAGGTTCAAGTACATTAAGATATTCACATTGTTGTTTTGTTTGGATCGTCATGTTTTAATATACATTTCAGATAAAAGAAAACTGTATTTGGGGTGTTTTATATAGATAATGGATGTAATGTCTTTATTTCGACGTCCGAAGGTATATGTTACAAGACGAATTCCACAAAAAGGAGTGGATGTGTTGTTACGAGACTGTGACGTATCCATGTGGGATTCAGAAAATACAGTTGTTCGAGGAGAGTTATTATACAATGTCGCTGGTGTAGATGCCATCTTGTGCATGGCCAACGACATCATCGATTCTGTTGTATTAGATGCAGCAGGTAATTAAAATATTTCGTAGTTTTATTCAAAAAGTTATCAATTTAAACAATCAAAAAATCATGACATCAACTCAGTAGTGGTGGCATATTGGGGGTACATGTTGGACCCTCATTGATATAAGACATACCCAAAATACTGATGCTGGACCTCCTGTTTTTATTATGGCAAAGGGAGAAGATGACCCGCCCTCTCTTCTCACGACAGCGATTTTATAAGTGTGTTTCAAGGTGACTTTTTTTTTATACAAGGACTTTTTTATTTTGTGTTTTACCAGTTTTCAGCCTTTTAAGTATGAATAATTTAATTAAATCAACCTATCCATAATATCATATTCATTGTATTGGACGTTAAATCTGTAATAAACAACAACAAACAACTGATGCGTGGGGGATATTTACCTTAACAATTACTATACACTTTAATTCTAATATTATTTAAAGCAATCTAAAAGATGTGTTTTTGACTAGAATCGGAAAGAGAATCTGAATTTGGATTTTTGGCAACACCCTTGAATCTTATAGATTAGGTTTAGTCAATCTGATTAAAATACAGATCTATATTTCGTTTGGTTTTTTTTTATACTTTCGATGGCCTACACTACATGAAGATCTGACCGGTTGTGCTGGAAGGTCGTGCCAGGGGTCGTTCGAGCGACTTTTGACCCTGTGACGTCAGACATTGATTAATCAATCAGCCTTGACGTTTCTAGTGGTTTACCCATAGTTCCGTGCATCGCCCGCCAAGAAATCGCCGTAAGTAACGAACCGTTTCATTGGCCAATCCCTCACTTCAACCAGAACGCCGGTAATATAACAACTCTTCCAGATCCTAGTGTAGTAAAGACAAGTAAAGCGAAATTTTGAACTATCAAAAACGAATTCAGATCTGTGTAGATTGGGGTTCAGTGTGATAAAATATGTTTTTATTTACAGGTTCTAATCTGAAGGTAGTAGCTACAATGTGTAATAGTTTAGATGATATTGATGTAGAAGCGTGTAATAAAAGTGGAATTAGAGTATTATCTTGTCCTAATCTTTGTAGCGAGGGTAAGGCTGACCTCACTGTATCTCTCATGTTATTAACTTTGAAACGAGCTGCAACGGGTAAGTAAAATTTAAACATATTCTATAAATCAAATATTGGAACCATCGACACAAGAGATAAAATTTCACACTTGTTATTAAATCTATTTGTTTTTATCATGTTAGGTTGTTGGTGTGTATATTTTAAAAGGCATATAGCTCTATTCTTTGGAACCTTAAAATAAACGAAAATGTGTCTAAAGCACATATCGAGTGTATATAAAGTGATTAACATTCAATTTCTTTTTAAAATTTGCACCCTATATGTGTTATTCATTCGTTTATAACTGTAGAAATTAACTTTTAACACCTATAAACAAATAATTATCATAAATTGAAAATCAAATATTTTAAAAAGCTAATTTTGACGGATTATATGATTCTCTTTAACAAATAGAATGGTCAACAACGGTTTTTAATAGTAATGATATAAACAAATTATAATGACTTATATTTAATCTTACTCGTATTTTGATATTGTTTACTATTTTCTGTATCCCTGGGAAAGAACTTATATCATATAGGCTTTGTCTGTTGTTGAATCCTTTTCAAATGAATAAAATATTGTTTAAAATGAACTACAGGCGTCCACAGTCGAAATATATAATACATACTTTATTAATAAATGTCATTCTATTGTTATTTTCTAGACCCAAGAAACCTTACAGTTGGATATTCTGTAACTAATTCTGCTTGTTGGGAAAAGTGCGCCAATCAGATTTTTGGTATTTATGGATTAAATACTACTGGTGAAACAATTGCTAAACGATTAAAAGAAGTTGGTGTTAATTCAATAATAGCATTTGATTCGAACTCAAACAAACTGTGGAATAACGTTGAATCATCTGTTAAAGTAGTAGATTTTGCAGATTTATTAACACAGTCAGATGTTCTGTGTATTTGTGATCAAAACGCCGATAAATCAAATACTCGATTTAACAAGGATGCATTTAAACAGATGAAAACAAACGCCGTGATTGTTGTCGGAGAGAATGGGCTATCAGAGAATTTGGACTACATCAGTTTATATGAAGCTCTTCGAGATGGCAAATTCCTGGCAGCAGGAATCAATTCATGCAACCAAGGTCCTGTTCCATTTCAATATCCCTTATCAGGACTTCATAACTGTGTCTTTTTACCCCAGACACAGGAAAGTGCTTTTGACGTACGGCATAAGACCTCTGTAGCGGTGGCCAGTAGACTTCTCACTGAACTTAAATACGTGCAGGCATCAAATTGAAAGGCTGAAATAAACTAAACCCAATTCTCTGATGTAAATATTATGGTTAGATAAGTTTTCAGGTGTTTAATGAAATCAAGGAGATTTGAGTTTGATTGTATATCTCTCTGAACACGTGGGTGTAATACTGAGAAACATAATTTAATAATAATTATTGTAATGTATTAATATAAAATATACTGAAATGTTATTTAATAATTCTTAATACGCATTAATTGTTGCAATTTTGCATTGTGTTATTACACGCTTTATTTCTACTTCAATATACTAAATTCATAAACGCATAATATTTTACACATATTTTACTTTATCCAAGTAACGGTCATTATCATTTAAAATTACTGGCATAAATATGTAAAAAAAAATGTACATTCTTTAAATGCAATTTCTTACATTATATCTAATATATTTTCCCTTTTACACCTTTCATCAAAGGAAAAAAGCCGATATCATAATTCATTCCATTTTGCTGTTTAGCAATGTTTTACTGTTTATATTTATATAAAGAAGTTATTTTTACCACACACTATAGTTTTGGTATTGTTTTCACGATGTTATACGCACATTTAAAAGCGCACAAACATTGAATGTATCCTTGACGTCTATATACAGTGTGTTCTTGTCCATTTTAAGATGCACTAATTGTTCAGTGATAAACGACGCTCAAAACCTTTTCAAAGTTTAATCTTTCTATCTTAATTGAAGTTATTATTTCCCAAAAGGTTCGACAGCTAGGGGCGGACGGCAGATTTGACGGATAACCTATTTCAATCACAATGGTGAAGTTATACCAGTTATAAAAACAAATATATACTTGCGAATTTCCACAAAAATATTGTCCGGATCTAACTCAACATTTTAGGGGGAACATAGGAAGTATACGGATTACTTTCTGACATATTTCGTTTAGGCAAGGGTAGGGGTGGCGGGGGGTCGAGGGCATTAATGTGGTTCTTTGATTACTGCTTTTGTTTTTGGTTCAGATCTTGAAATAAGGCGTGGCAGTTGGTAAATAGTCAGCTCAGCAGTGCCCGAGCATGTCCCACCTCATTCAATATTTGGATAAAAATTCATTACATAAAAAAGGTGATTTTGTTTGTATTTATTTTAATCATATATACACTAACACAACATAGAATTTACTTGTTTTATAATAATAAAATAGCTATCCGTGCTTCTAGATGTCCTTTATAGAATTAATACAATTATTGTAAGAAAAATAGATACATATTTAATATTTGTCAATCTATACGACATGTACAATGAATGATATTTAGTATAGCAAATAAGCTTGCTATACTTCTTAATGTGTGAGCAAAATTCATTATATATAAACAGACAAAAAAATCAGTATACATTAAATACATATATATTATATATGTATAAAAGAGAATAATTGATTGTTACATATGATGTAACGGTTTCCTAAACTCCCACACTTTTACTATTCAGCCTTATTCCGACATGGATAGTCTACATTTTAACACTTAAGCAATATTAAACCAACTATTTCATTGATATAAATAACAATAATATACTATAAATAACAATAACATACTCTAAATAATAATACTATAATTACCGGTAACAAACGGAAAGATTTATTCTTGTTGGACAAGCCATTGAGATTTGGTATACGAATGATATATATATATTATTATTAGGCATGACAAATTCTCAGAAACAATATACAGATCTACCAGTTTCTTCTTGACGCATCTCAGTGAAAAGTTCACACGTAAATCACTATAAAAAATCTCGGCCAACAACGAGATCGAACACGGGACCTCCAGGTTAGGGAGCCAACCCCATACTCGATGAGTCACCATGCCCCCCCCCCCCCTAGAATGTTGTATATAATTTTACACTGGTAATTAATAGAAATGAAATGAAATGGGGTTTAACGTCCTACTGTTCTGCTCCTAAACTGCGCTAATGAAGACGGGCATACGCCATACAGTGTGCTATGAGGTAATCAATAGCAATTTTTGTTAAGGGTATAATTCGATTGACAGAAGACTAATGCCATCCTTAAACAGATAACGCAGCCCAGCACCTTCGTTAACTATAACGGCAATTATAAGTTAACGGAGCTTTCAACAACCGGTCCATGGGCTACAAGTCTGGTTTAGGCCAAAATAAAGTGTTAAAATTGGCTGATAGATTCGTGGCGAAAAAATCTTTACAATAAAATTTGGAAACATTAAGCAGATGTCAGCTGAGCTTAACATGTTGAGAGTAGGATACTAATTTTGATCAAACAGTAAATCTAAAATTTAATGTAAATCAACTTAACAAAGCCAATAAGCATAGTACACTGGCGCTAATTTAACTGACACTTATTGTTTGCCAATTAAAAGAGGTATTGTCATTTTAAAGGAACTAATTAAACTGTTTTAAATTTAATCAAAAGTTTGATAATTGGACTGATTTGTTGCGGGGTACTCTCACTGTGCCAGTTTTTAATCCCTGGATTATCGGATTTTAATTAACAGCCTTAATTGGCTTAATCAAGTGAGCCAATTTTATGGTGTATAGAACTGTGTTCAACAGATTATTCGTTCAGCATATGGCATGTAGACTGTGTTCATCTTATTTTATCATGATGATAAGCAATTTTTTGTTAAAACTTACTTAAGTGGTGAACTCCGTTCAGGGGACACTATATATGGAACCACTGTCATTTGTCAACAACATTGATCTGACAGATATCACAAGATGGCAAACGTTCAAGTAGATGTTAGTTTCATACCAAATGCTCAGGGTGGCCAAAATCTGGTGTATAGAGGGTATAAATTTAGAATTCGAACAGGAAAGGGGATAGGGTCCATTGGAGATGCTGTAAGACTACTTGTCCAATGGTTAATTTGATTGTCCGCAGAGCAGCAGCTCTTCCACTGGTACTACAAAGTAACATAGACGATTACTGGCTGAATGCTCTGGAGGTTTACCGATTACGTGACTGAGCAGTGGGTAGAAGGAGGTGAGCGAGATATGTGGAACCATTTTCAGACAACTCGTCCACGCACAACCAACAACGTTGAAGGATGGCATTCGAAAATGAACAAACTGGTAACCAGCCACCCCAACATATTTCGTTTTATCCATCTAATCAAGCAAGAACAGGCGTTCGTCGCTGTAACCCTGAAACAGCTTGCTGCTGGTGCCTCTAGCAAACCCAGAAAAAGGAAGTACCGGCAGTTGGAAGACAGACTGGTAACAGAAAAGCGGCGCCTCCATGAAGGGCATTAGACCGTCATCGAGTACGGGGATGCTGTCTCCCACTTAGTTGGATTGTAAGATGTATTTTGTTGAAGATGTATTATTAATAGGAAAATGTTTGATTAAATAAAATGTTTAAATGATAACTTGTACATTATATGCTAAATATTTTAAATTAAATATTGTATTTTAGTATAATAATGTGTAAATTAAACTGTTAATCCTCTGGTAAACCCTTAATCCTAACTAATCCCCATTGTTGTATCGTTAATTATTTGATTAATCCCTAAACAATAAAACTGGCACAGTGGGAGTAAATCTTTGTTGCTTCATTTCAAATAACATGGCCCAAGCCATTTATATGTAAGATTAAACATAAGTTGTGTTTCAAAATATTACGTCTTGGGTTCATTGTGGCACACACAATCAGTAATATCTCAGAACTGACTTTATCTTAATTTGACAGATTACAACATTAAACAACATACAACATTTTTAACCAACATCAAGGAGCTCTTGTCATATTTATTAGAGAGATGTGACGGTCACATTAGTTTCTATTGATTACGACTGGCATATTCATATATACTTTTCTTTTATAAAATGTGCCCAAGGATAATAACAGTGTCACAGTACACGATGTTTTTATATTTAAGATATGTGACCAATCTAGCTTACTTAGCATGTACTTCACCCATTGGCTTTTCTTTGTGAAATACAGCCAATATATTTTTGGCGGCGGTAGAAGACATGCTGTTTCGAGATTCCCAAGTATTACTACCCATATGAGGCAGTACTATACAGTTAGATAAAGAAATAAGGGGGTGGCTAGCAGGCAAAGGTTCTGGCTCTGTCACATCTAATCCAGCGGCAGCAATATCACCATTAACCAGGGCTTCGTAGAGATCGTCGTGATGAACCACACCCCCACGACCACTATTTACCAAAATGGCGGATTTCTTCATTTTTTTAAATGTATCCTTATTGAATTTGTGACGTGTTTGAGCTGTGAGATTACAGCAAATGCAAATAAAATCTGATTCTTTTATCAGTTCTTCAAATGTCACAAATTCTGCACCAACATCAGAGGCATAGCTGACGCTAACAACATCGTGGTACAGAATTTTGCGCACACCAAATGGACGTAATCTTCGGGCAACCCCGTAACCAATACGGCCAAGACCGAGAATACCAACAGTGCGTTGTGTCATCTCTGTACCCAGCAGCCACATTGGTTTCCATGCACCCCATTCTCCGTTTTTTACAGCTGTCACACCTAAAATGATGCAAGAAGTAATAATATAAATATTAAATAGTGACGTAATAATATATACTTTTAAGTTAATTAATTTCAGTGTTGGACGAGTAAGTTCCCCTGGATTTTCCACCCTGTTTTCCCCTCGTCAGTCGTGCAGGTCGGAGTAGCGTCTAGTCTTTCGAATGGGACCAAAAACCGAGGTTCCGTGCATATAATGGCTTGATACTTAAAACCGAGGTTCCGTGTACATATTGGCGTGACAAACCCTTGGTACTTGGAATTCAAAAAAGAGTATCCATAAATGCTGCTGTTTAGGTAAAATTTCCCTCATGGCAAACAACCTTAAAAATCCTATTTCATTCTACCTAGTTAACCCTCTTGCTGTAACTAGTTGTATAAAGAAATACCTCCTAGCAATCGCCAATCATCTGAACCATGTAAGTTATAATATCTTCTAGTAATCGTCTAGACGTAAGTAGTATTATAGTATAGTAATATAAATTAGCTTACCTTCTAGTAATCGTCTAGATGTAAGTAGTAATAGCGCAACAGTTAATTCAGCAACACTATCGGTTGAAACATTTGGTGTATTAGCTACGACAATATTCCGTTTGTCACATTCTGCAACATCTATATGCTCAAAACCTACAGACATGGTAGCTACCACTTGAAGTTGTGGTCCTGAAAAATATTAAATACAAAATTACAAGTATATGACTATCAGTTACTAATTGTGGTGCGGAAAGGAAGGTCGCAAAACGTTGAATATCGACAGGGTTAATCCTATCATGACCTCAATGGTTAACAGCAATTTTGGGGAAAAAAATCGGTTAAAAACTGTAGCCTCTATCACTTTCACAAGTTTTAAATAAAGGGGGGCAACTCCGGAACGGAAGGTCGAAGAATGCCGATTATTAATAGACCGCGATACTGATGGATGGACGAAAGGGAACGACGAGAATTGATAAGTTTAATGCTTTCGTGTTCCCAATTCATCATCGTCCGGCACAACAGAAAGTCAACAAACTTTGTTACACATTTTGCGAAAAAGGCAGGGATATTAATCCAAGACAATGCGGTATGATGCGCACCAAAGTCGACTTCATACCAGATCGTTTCACCCGTAACATATTTTCAGTTTCACATGAATCGGACAACTTCGAACCCCTCAAAGATCTTTTGATCCATAACCTTGGTACATGTATTGAAAATGTGGACGTAAAAATATTTCAGTGTATACGTGTATATCATAATAATTATATCATTCTGATTTGTATCAGAAGAACAGCTGAATGAGACCGTAGTGGAAAATGGTTCAAAGAGATTTAAACCCAAACTGATGAATTCTGGTGGATTTTCTTTTACAGTAAAGGTGATAGTTGTAATAATCGAGTATCGTGGCTAATATGTACTCGTTTTTTTATGTTAGACCTTGTTCAAGTCATCAATATCTACATGATGACATTCAGAACGAACGTAAGTTATTTCTGAGCATGAATAAATTATTTAAGCTTTTAATTACTTATTTTACTTGGTTAATATATATATGTTTTTATCAATATAATCATTCATTTCAGGCTGACGTAATAGACGACTTAAAATCATAGGAAACTAAATCAATTACATATTGAATGATTGGTACTAATATTAAAACAAGTAGCTGGATGGTATGCAGTGACAAGTGCTACGGAAAGGCTACTCGTTTAGAAATACATGTAATAACAAAGCAATATTGCCGAAATATTGCATACTAACTGACAAACTTTTCGGGGGCAAAATAACAAGTCAATAACAACAAAAGTGGACGTTTAAAATTGGATGGTCGTTTGTACGGACAAATAAATGGTTAAAATTATAATATATGGAATGTTATGTTAATAAAATATCAAAATATTATTATGATTTTTTTTTTTCTTTTATGGATGAAACGACCCATGCCATTTTAGGATGAACATCCCGGATGTAAGTCACGACTGGGTTAATACGGTTTGCGGATGAAACAACCAGCTCCCCGACGGGGCACATAATAATATAAGCTTTGGAGTCGGGAATGAGCCCCCCCCCCCCACACACACACCCTTTGGATTCGATGAACCGTCCATATTTTATAGCACAAACATCGGGCACAAACTTCAGAGAATGAGACCATATTATATCATAGAAATATAATTGTAAAATGAAATCGTTCGAGGTTTACGATTTAAATGCTATAACACTTAAGACCTCGCACATTAACAATCGTGGAAATCTCTTTTTAGATATTTTTTTTTTGTTTTTATTTTTTTTTTTTTTGGGGGGGGGGGGGTATTTTTATTTCAAGTAGCCTACAACAAAATATTTTTATTTAAAGTACAAGAAGATTATTTTACAACATTGAAAAGCAGTAGCTTATATAAATTCATCTACATGTAAATTATATTTCAATACAATTACTAAAATGAACAAGGTGTACAAAATGTACATGTATATCTTACATATTTACATTGATAAATAAATAAAATAAATCATCACCATCATTTAGTTAATGGTCGATTTATTCGAGTGACAAAGAAAATTTTCGGGAAAATAATCTCAGCCCCCCGCCCCTCAATGACGTAAAGAAATTTCCCATGCAAATTATAATACGGCCCTGAACCTGTATAACTAATGAGACCGCGAACAACCTTGAGAGTGTCACATTGACCCAGTCAAGAGCGACCGTCAAGAGCAGTACCGGGTTGTTGATTGTTTTAAAACAAATTACTTGAACACAATTCTGACCCATCGTTTAAGGGGGTAAATCTAATACTTGGTCCATAATCCTACAGAAGAGCTAAATTTTGTTAGTGATCAACTTGCTCATTGATTTTCCGATTCTTACATTAAATAATAGATTTTTAAAAGTAAAATAAAGTGAGAAAAGTGTCGATAAAAATTAAAATGAGTGTACTAAGACAGAAATGTCCGAGCATATTTAATAAGCTATCATTCTTACCGGCAGCCTCTATCACTTCCTTATTAATTTGATCAGTTAGCATACAAAATAACCCATCTACTCCTCGTACATTCTTCAATAATTCTTCTTGCGGGATTGCTTCGTCTGATTTCCAAAATGTCAGTTCACACTCTTTTTCTAAAATATCTATTCCAGGTTGTGGCACAAGTCTTGTTACATAGACTTTTGGTTTACCTTTGAGTTTGAATGCCATTGTTAGCAATACTGTAGTGCCAATGCCTGTCTAAGAAAACACATGTAATGCCCGTCTATATCCTTTGCTTTATGGATTTTGCAAGCTTTATAAATCTTGCAAGAGATTCCTTTGTAGATTTCATTGGTAAACTGGGAACGACGTGACGTACGTAAAAAAATTGACCAATCGCGCTGCAACATTCAGGGCTTCCCCATGTGGAAGAATCAATTCGATATCTCGATACAAGAATCTTCTAGAACTCATGCAACCGAATCAGGATGTAGGCGATCATGTTTGATCCGACTCCCTTTTCTATTTCCATTACAGGATTAGGGTTAGGGTCAGGTATTTGAGATTTAAACCTATAAATTCAGGGTTAGGGGTTTAAGATTAAAACTAATAAAACCAATGATGAGTACCGTATGACAAAATCTTTAACAACAATGAAATATTGACTTATTGAGACACAAAAATAGGAGTCACATCAAACATGAATGCCGAAAAATGAAGTCAGATAATGCATTTGTCTACTTCTCTTGTTTGTGTGGAGAGACAACCGAACTGTTAAATATGCATAATATTTTATTATCTTTTACATGGGCACGTTTTGTTTTGTATTTCCACAGAGGCCTACTGTATTATGTACATGTACCTTGTAGGTTTTATACTGTCTCTTTATGTGAATGCAGGTTTTATAGGCCCCCCCTACTGCCTATTTATATGGTTGCTCTGAATTTATGCCCATCCATATTTTTGTTCCGGTCCAAATTTCTGTACTTGTGTTTACTTTACTTTGTATATTGTATGCCGTCCTCAAATACTGCTTGGTGTGATCGTCTAATCAATAAATGAAATGAAATGAAATGGGGTTTAACGTCCTACTGTTCTGCTCGCTGGGCTAATGAAGACGGGCATATGCCATACAGTGTGCTATGAGTGAAATTTTGCCCGGGCAGCGGCACTATCGCCTACTCTTATATCGAATTCCAACTGCCAAGGGGTCTTTTACGTGCATTCCAATGTATACACGGGACCTCGGTTTTTCGTATCATCCGAAGGACTAGACAGCTGTCCTTGTCAGGCCCTCCGTCCTGTATCATTGACAAGGGGGAACCACGCCGGAAAATCTGGATGAACTTTCTCGGCCAATGCAGAGATCGAACACCCGACCTCCAGGCCAGCGAGCCAACGTCTTAGCCACGTGATCCCTCGTCTAATCAATAATTCATCATCTTATCAAATCTTAATTTTCTTTCATTATTGAAAATGCACCCGCGTTTGTTTTTTTAGTTTGTTTCTGCATGTTGTTGGGGGTTTTTTGCCAAACATTAAATATTGTTATTTATGACATATTGTTTGCTGTCCTCAATATATATGTTTCGATGCAATAAAATCTTACATATCAACATGTATCGATCTTAATGATTGGTGTTATCTTTTTGCCAAACATCACATATTGTTATTTATGACATTGTATGCTGTCCTCATTGGATGTTTCGATACAATAAAATCTTGTCTATCTATCTATCTTAATGATTGATGTTATCTTTTTTGAGTCACAATGTTAAAGATACATTAGTTAAGAGTTTTATAAAGAGTTGGCCATTCTTGCTATAATTCAAAAATAGATGATAAAAAAAGAAAATGTTGAAAATTTCAGTCAAATTACTTTGTTCTGAACGGAATTGTCACTGTTGGAAGTTTGGACTAGAAATAGGTATCAATTGTGTCTGCACCGTCTATGAGAATTTGCGATCGTTTGATTGACAGACGATAACTCCACCCACATATTCTCAATTATCAAGCTCAATGGCTATGGTAGCCTCGCCTGGCAGGCCTTTCATCACCAGTTTCCGACAGTGACATCAGCGACTAACGGTAAACGTTAGCTTGGTCCGCCATTTATTGATTTAATTTTAAATGGACGACTGTTTAATTCCAAACCGTATCCAAGTCATCCGTGGGTCTACAGAGTTGATTTTGAGCTTTTCGTGTAAATAAAGGTCTAATTAATAATTTCTATAACATCTGAAGCCTAAACAAAGACTTGCAATAGGCAGATTTAGCTCTTGCATAATGTTAAGTAACGAACGTCAATCAATGGTTGGCAACTTGCTAGGGAGGAATAAAACACTTTGTCTCAATACTCTGCTGTCCCCACCCCCGGATGACTGATATTGGATCTTTCAGCTTACTGGGACTTCATTGATCAAAAAGGTATATAACAAAACGCATATAATGATATGCAAAGGCTGCCAGATGAAACGTAAAAATGTTTCCCTAGCGAGAAACGTTAACCATCTGGTACCTAAACTAATTAATTAAAAGACACAGCAGGGCGGGGCGCAGAACTGTCCCCAAAAGGGAAACGCTCCGTCCTACGCAAAACTCAAGTAACAACCAAAGCAGGGTGAGCTCAAACAACATTGCGTCTCATGTATTACACTTTATCACCCAATAATACATTCTACAGTAGATATCGCTTGTGTGGTAAATTTCGTAATCTACAGCGATATCTCCATGAATTTGATTCGTCAATCAAACAGGAACTCCTTTTTTATTTTCAAAGAACAGTTCATTTTTTATTAAATGTAACTTCTTATTAAAAAGGAACTATTTTTATTTAATTGGCCTTGATGGAAACACTTGGTCAATATAAAGGACTTTGGAATAGTTGAATTGCTGTCAAAAAGTGATGTATCACTACCCGTAATGTAATCAGTTTGATTATAAGTGAAAACTATAGCAAAGAATTATATTTATTTATTTATTTGTGCATGTAAGAAGGGATTGGGTGATAAATAAAATCTCCTACTCGTCTTTTTTGATATCAAAAGACTGGTAGGAGATTCTCTATATATTATATATATTTTTATATTGCGATTAATTGTACATCTGTGTAACTATCTTAAATGTTTTATTGTATTTAAATATGAACTCAAAATAAAGATTTCTTTTAAAACCATATAATAATAATAATAATAATAATCCTCTATTTATATAGCGCGAATACTAAAACTAAAGTTTCTATTGCGCTTTTCAAGTTTTCTCTACAGAAGCGTTTCCGTAGTTCAATAAACAGGAACGTCTTTAGCTGAGATTTAAATGCATCTAGGGAGTCAATTGTTCTAATGTTGTAAGGCAGCGAAATCCATACGAGAGGAGCAGAGAACGAGAAAGATCTTTTTGCTATTTCAAAATTCACTGATGGTTGATATAGAAATTTTTTATCTGTGAATCGTAAGAGTTCTTGTGGATTTATATGGGGTAATCTAATCAGATCTTTGATATATTTTGGTTATTGATCATGTAACTCCTTGAAAGTCAACAGTAATATTTTGTATTTTGAACTCGATTCGTTGTTGAACTGAGAGCCAATGTAGATTTTCTAGAATCAGGGTGATGTGGTCTGATTTTTTTGTACTTGCAGCATTTTGAATTCGTTGAATTTGATAATTCGGAAGGGCAAAAAATAAGGCATTATGATAGTATAGTTTATTTGTAATGAATGAATGAATGGAGAGTTCCGTACTCTCAGCATTTAAATATTTCTTTATTTTGTTAATTCTGTGAAGATGGAAATAAGAGGAACAACCAGATTTTATGTGGGAGCTAAAGGACATTGTGGAATCTAGAACTGCACCAAGACTTTCGTGTTGAAATTTAAGAGGTGGTATTGAGAAGTTGTTGTTTTGTTCCAATTACCAGATACTCTTTTTTTTCAGGATTTAGTTTCAGAAAGTGTTATGTCATCCATAACCTGATTTCTTCCAGACAGTGTTCTGATTGGAGGAAGCATATATATGTGTATCATCGGCATACAAGTGAAGATTAAGACCAAACTTTTCAGCAATTTTAGTTAATTGTCGGGTGAAGATAATGAACAGTACAGGGCCTAGAACTGACCTATGGGGCACACCACACATCATAGGGACCTCAACAGATTTGATTTATCGATCTTGACACATTGTTGTCTGTTTTCTAGGTATGCTCGGAACCAGCCTAAAACAGTGCCTCGAGTCCCCATTTCTTCTTGCAGAGCTGAACTTCAAAATAAAAATGTGAGTAAATAAAGTATGATCACTGTGAGAGCGACACAAAACAACTTCATCCCTCCTGCTGCTTCTATAGGAGTTTGGCCAAACTCCTAAGAAAGGCTTGATGTGGTGAAGTTTATTTGTGTTTGCAAGATCCCAAGACCGTTGCAAACAGTCATAGAAAAAAATGGGTGAAAGGTAAAACTAGTATAAAGCTTAATTTGATTAGTTACATCAAATATTATATTAATTCGTTTTATAATTCTTTATTAAAGTTAATATATGCCATAAAATTTGTTTATTTTATATAAAATATTTATAGTAAAACAAAAACCACAATCAACATATACAAACATTCATATATTTGTTTCATTTTAGTCTTGGGCTTATTCTGTTTAAAATTTCATGACTTTCTTTTTACCAATACAGTCATATTTTAGTGATTTGATCCCTATGATCAACCATACAATTTTATTTGCCATAAGCTCATGCTACATTATTACTTCATACCAAATCAATAAATAAACAAATAAATATATTTTTAACATAGTCTGAATATGTTTAGCAGCTGACATCTTTAAAACAGAATGAATTATGATGAGACAGTATTTTATACAGGAAGGGCTTGTTTTATATCTTTTATAACTCTATCTATATCTTCTTCACTTGTTTCTCTACCAACAGATAATCTTAAGGCACTCCATGCTATTTTGTCTGATACACCAATAGCTTGTAATATGTGAGATGCTCTACAAGAAAACATGTATATTATTATACATTAAACTACCAAATTCTCATCCAATCTACTCCACTAACCCCTTGGTCCACTCACGGAGGATATACATATTCAAATCATCCACCCTTGATAATTGTGCTATTTTCATCGAACAATCTTATATTTTTCGACTGGGCGAAGGGAACTAACTCACATTTTATTGCAACTAAGATCAACGAATCGGTGTTGCAAATTTGTCAAAATATTTTAGGACATTGTTTTGACTTCTTTGACATTAAATTTCTTGCAATTCTTTCCATATTGTCATCACCCCTGTCCGTCCGTCCACAATTTTTTGTGGACATTACACAGGTCACAATTTTTACCGACATTGATGAACCTTTAAATGTAGGTTTTTATCCCAAAGATCTCTGTTCCTTTCGATATTGGTATGTATCGGACAATTACTTCTTGGATTATGGCCCCCAATTGTACGAAAAATCATGTTTTTAGCTTGTGGACACTAGAGGTCACAAATTTTATCCTATTTTGATAAAACTTAAAATGTATGTTTATTACCCAAAGATCTCGACGCCTTTTGATATTTGTGCATATTGGACCATAACTTCTTGATATATGGCCCCTGAGTATGAAAAATCGCATTTTTATCTCTAGAGGTCACAATTTTTATCTAATTTAAAAACGTTCAATTATATCACTGTTACACCATATCGATGTAAAAATATGGTATATCAAGGTTGTGGATTCTCTAGAGGTCACAATTTTGATCCAATTGTGATGAAATTTGAAATACACATGTTCATAACCCAAAGACCTTGGTTCCTGTTGATATTCGTGCATACTGTGGCCCTTGATTTTATGAAAAATCATATTAACTTTAGCCTCTAGAGCGTCCACGAGCAATTGTGGACGTCGGACCAACGGATGGGGGCGACAACAATATACGACCACATTTCAATGTGGGCGTATCAAAAACATTCAAATTATATCACCATTACAAATCAATGAAGGTTGAGTTCGAATTTCTTAAAAATCTGACCCAAACTTCCCGACAAAATAGTCGCTCCTAGTATGCAAATAGTATAAAAGTATGTAATACCAAGGATAAGGACCCTCTAGAAGTCACAATTTTGATCTGATTTTGATGAAACTTGAAATCTATGATTATAATCCAATTATCTTGGTTCCTTTCAATACATGTATTTGAGCATATCGGACCATAACTTCCTGGATTATGACCCTCAAGAGTTCACAATTTTTATCTGTTACACCCTACTGACGGTTCAGTTTGAAATTAGTGAATATCGGACTGAAACTGCCTAACAAAATGGCAAATAGTGTAAAAGTATGTAATACCAAGCTTGTGGACTCTCTAGAAGTCACAATTTTGATCCAATTTGGATAAAACTTAAAATATATCTTTATATTCCAAATATCTCTGTCCCTTTTGATATTCGTGCATTTCAGTCAATCGGATATAAACTTTAGCCACTATGCTTGTGGACGCCGGACTGACAGACTAATGGACGGACGGACGGACGGGGGCGACGACAATATACAACCACATTTCAATGTGGGCGTATAAAAATCACCTTGTTTAGCTTGTTCTATATCCATCTCTTGCAAAATGTGGGCGTATCTTGCCTGGCAACCACTTGTTTGATTGGTTTGTAGAATGAACCTTACGATCAAGGGCAGATAATTTCAATGGAACCAGGGGTTAGTGGAGTAGAATGGATGACACCACTGGGGGTACCAAGGATGCCAAATGCTAATCGTTCTTTAGCTGCTATTCATGTATTGAAGAAATATTGTGAGCAAAAGCTTTACAAATTGTAGGGTAAATCACATAATATTTTCAATAAAACAATCTCATTCTGTTTTATATTAGATTAACAGTACTATTTATAAAATATAATTTGTATGATATTACAATGAAAAATAGTCTGGTATTAAAAAGAATATCTGGTGTAGATATTTCTATTGTACACACCTGTTCTGAGAATGACAGGCAGCACCAACACTAGCCTGCACCTGTTTACACCTCTTTAATATTTCATGTCCTAAATTACACATTTCAACAATCAATATACATAGTTCATGAACCAGAATAGTCATTTTGACATTACAAAACATTTATTACAATATTCCATGTGAAACTGTTTAATTATACTATAGTAAATCTGGTTGTATGATCTCAATTGATACTCAGAGTTCTATAAACAAGTTGTACACCATTGTGTAATATTACAAAGCAGAAGTGCACATTCTTAAAAGATGTTCACTGGCAACCTTTCATGATTATTTTTCAACAAGCAACAGATAGCAATCTTGTTCAATTGACAGTAGGCCTACAATATTGTCTAATAATGCTGAATTTACCTTTCAGTTCTGTATTTAGAAAAGAAACATTGCACGTATTTGGAAGTCTTTCACTTGTTGTAAATTTACCATTGATACAGACATCTTTACCAAAAACAACCTGTAATTTCATCATAATTAGAATAAAATTCTATAATTAACAACTTAGCTCAATTTTACACAAACTGAAATACCATTATTTGCATTTACATATTTGACATACATTATAATATATTGTTATTGTGTTTTGTAGCTGCACAAAACAAAGTGTTTCCAATAGAGAAAAGTTTCCAATTGTCAAGTATCAGGCAATAAAGTATCCTATGAAGATAAGTTGCTAGATAAAAAAAAAAAAACGCCCACAGCAGCCAAGTCGTCTGAGCAGTCCACAACAGTTGTCACATATATTCATTTTTATGTACTTGGGGCATTTAAGTAACATACTATAAGTAATTATCAGAACTAATTAAAGATGCATTGGCTAAGATTTTTTTATACAAAATATGTCCTGGTAATCACATGGTAACTTTAGCTGTTTAAGTTATTGAAAGTTGTTGGAAATCAATAGACTTCTACAGATTGATGAAGGGTCAAAACAGTAATTATGAGAAACCATTGAAAATTAATAGGCTTATTTGTCTCAGGAACACAAACAATGAATATGAATTATTGTTGAAAATCAGAAGGCCTCTTCCACTCATGCACATAAACACTGTGTATCAGCAGGATTAAAAACAAGGTATGACCACATTTCAATGAAGCTGCATATAAATACTAAATACAATATCCTACTACTGAAGCCATTAGTAATACAAACATTTCAGTTGTAGAAGTAGATTATATATATAATTATCTTACCAGTAATTGTTCTTCCAGATAATTTCGTGTTTTTAACATAGTAGATTGATATAAATCTAGGTTATCAGCAACTAACTCTGCTGCCTATAATAAACATCATTCACTTTGTTTTAACTATAATAAACAAGGTGTATGAATCAGCCATTGGTTAATCCTTGTATAACATTTATACATATCATATTGTGCGCATGTATATATCCATAAATAAAGATAGATTGCCAGGCAACGAAACATACGCCCACAGCAGCTAAATCATCCGAGTGGTCAACTAAGGTTGTCACATATTTAATCTTTTGTAGGTAATGGGGGTCATTTAAATAATGCATATAACTTTCATATAGGTTAGATGATGACTTGTTGTTCGAGCGTTCACATTGTTAAACAAAGTAAATCAAAGCTCATAACTTGAGAAGTAAATATTGGAAATTGCTGAAATTCAATAGGCTTCTTTGTTTCACCAATTTAAATGATGCATTTAAATTCATACAGATCGAATGATACCTTTCATCATTCGAGCGTTCACAAGGTTCAACAATGTTAACAAGGGCCATAACTCCAGAAGTAATTATTGGAAATTGCTGAACTTCAATAGGCTTCTTCGTTTCACTAATTTAATGATGCGTATACATTTCATACAGATTGGAAGATAAATTTTGTCGTTGGAGCATTCACAAAGCGCAACAAGGGTAATAATTCCAGAAGAAATTAATGGATTCTTTTTTCACTAATTTAAATAATTCATATAAATTTCATACAGATCCGATGATACCTTTTGTCGCTAGTGCATTCACAGGAATCTACAAAGTGAAACATGGGCCATTACTCTAGACATAAATAATGCACATTGCTGAAATTCAACAGGATTCTTCATTTCACTAATTTAAATCATGCAACGACAATATATACGACCACATTTCCATGTGGGTATATAAAATGTTCTGAAGATGTTCAGTATTTTGGTGTCTTTCTTTAATTTAGTTTATATATATATGTCCGAAAAATATTAGCACAGTCATTAAGCTACACTACTTTGTTCCACAGTAAACAATGAAAGGCAAAGAGTGTTGTGGACACAAGCTGGTTTCAACACTGGTTAAATTACATTTTAACATTTTTCCCCTCATCTAGGAGGTTGTCATGAATTATGTTAGAAATATAAACCATTATAAAAAAAAATTTGAACAAGAATATATCTTATCTATTATAAATGGTGAAATAAATTAGTACCAGCAAGTTTACACCATATGCACTGTCATACAAATTAAGCTTTATACATTTTATCCTAGTTGAAAGTATTTGTATAATTGTCATTCTTTTGCATTTTAAGTACACCAAAGCCCTTTCAGCCCATGGGTTAAAAAAAAATTACAAATAAAATTATTATGTAGATAACTATATATAATACTTACCTTTCCTAGACCGGCTATCATCCCTGTATTTTCAGTTCTAAAAAATCAATGATAGTTGAAGTAAAACAAGCCAACAGTGAGGCTGATGTCCCCCACCAAAATCCCAAAATAAATAGATGACACTTATTAATTAGTTGCACATTTATCTTTTTCAAAAGTATCGAGCAATCAAACTGATTATCTATACTTAGTCTAAGCATAAAATGTTCACAATCAAACTCAGTCAAGGTTTTGAAGTACCTGGTAGAAAAACTATACACTAAGTTTCATCTTGTCCCAAAGCATTGACCAATGAAATTACTTAGCTCTGCTTAGCTTATGCAGAAAATGTTAATCTTGAAACTCGGTCAAGACATTCACCTTATGAACATTTACATCAAGTTTAAACATTCTACCTCATTTAAAAGCAGAGTTGTTAGGTTCTAAAGTCTTGACTAATCAAATTGCTTATCGAACTTAGTCAAGGAATCTATACTCAGAGTTTCATCGTTCTCACTCAATTAGAACCAAAGTTATCGTTTTCCATAATCTCAACCAATCAGATTGCTTATCTCTGCTTAGCCGTAGTCGAGAATGTGCATGATCAAACTCTGTCACAGCATTCACCTGATAGACACCTACAGTAAGTTTGAACATTCTACCTCAATTAGGAGAGTTATTGTGTTTCAATGTCTCAACTAATCATATTGAAGTCTCTACTTTGCTTAAGCAGGAAATAATCTTTGAGAGGCATTTAGTAACTGGATAGAGCAATACACAAAAACACATACTTATGGAAAAAACAGGTACTTATTTATTTGGACGACGTTTCGATGAGTATTCTCTCAACGTTATCAAGCTAATAAAGTAATACAAAAATTATGAGGACAATATATACAGAAAGACTATAACAACAATTCATAATTGACCTCATAATTTTGTATTACTGTATTAGCTTGATAACGTTGAGAGAATACAGTCAAGCTACAGCCAAAAAGTTTTGCACAGTTGCTAGTTTTTACATGTACAATAACAAATTTTTTCCAGATTTTTTCAAGGGGTCGATTTCCCACCCTAGTCGACACATGGAATGACCCTTATCTCTGCTTACCCTGAGCAAAAATTGCTCATCTTCAAACTCCATTAAGGCATGCACATAATGAATGTCTACACCAAGTTTGAACATTGTACCTCAATTAGAAGGAGGGATATTGTGTTCCAAAGTCTTGACTTATCAAATTGCTTATCGTTCTCCTTACCCCAAGCAGTAAATGCTCATTATTGAACTTAGTCAAGGTATTGATGTAATTAAACTATACATCAAGTTCCATCACTCACCCTTAACTAAATTTATCATGTTCAAATTATAAGAAGGAGAATTATTGTGTCCCAAAAAGTCTGAAGGACGGACGGAGAGACTTTAATAATCCCCTGCTTTCCTTGAAAGGTGGGGGACAATAACTTTTATTTTAAGAGTTGCAGAAATTAGTCTTTATGGTTAAATATTATATATTTGTAATATTTAATACATGTATATTTAAAAGTTTCTAAATTCAATTTTAAGGATTATATACCAAAATATACTATGATTAGGATGGGAAAATCTATATTTTAATTACATTTACCAATTTGTCTTCAGGACTATTATGTACAAAAGACAATATTGTTTTAACTACTTTAAGAAGTTACTATATATCTAACCCGGAACGAAGATTATATTCCTGTCCACCACCATGTAACATTGCATATAAAGGTGTTTTAACTTGTTGTACATCATTAACATATATAGCTCCTATTCTTGGTCCATAAAACTAAACAAATTTTAAAATATTCTTTAGATACATTACTTTCAAGTCCTTAATTTATAAGATGTTGGCATATAAATGATACCAGTGGTTACCATGCAAGATACGCCCACATTTTCCAAGAGATGGATAGAGAAAAAGCTAAAGAAAAGCTAATTTTTTGTACAATCAGTCCATAATCCAGGAAGTTACCATTCGATATGCACAAATATCGAAAGAAACCAAGATCTTTGGATTTTAATCATACATTTCAAGTTTCATCAAAATTGGACAAAAATTGTGAAATGTAGAGTGTCCACAACCTTGGTATTACATTACATTTTGTCCGGCAGTTTGGGTCAGATTTTTACAATATTCGAACTCAACCTTTATTGGTATGTAACAGTTATATATTTAAACGTTTTTTTAAAAATTGAATACTAATTGTGACCACTAGCGGGTCCACAAGCTAACAATGCAATTTTACGAAATTCGAAGTCAACCATCATTAGTGATATATTTAAATGTTTTTATTAACTCGGATAACAATTGTGACCTCTAGATGGACCACAAGCTAAAAACGCAATTTTTCATACAATTAAGGGTTATAATTCAGGAAGTTACGATCTGATATGCGCAAATATCGACAGGAACCGAGATCTTTGGGTTATAAACATGCATTTCAAGTTTCATCAAAATCAGATGAAAATTGTGACCTCTAGAGTGTCCACAAGCTAAAAACGTGATTTTTCGTTGAACAATCAGGGGCCATAATCCATGAAGTTATGGTCTGATATATGCCAATATCGAAAGGAACCAAAATCTTTGGGAGATAGATTTATATTTTAAGTTTCGTCAAAATTGAATAAAAATTGTGACCTGTAGAGGTGTCCAAAACAAATTGTGGGCGTATAAAAATCAAGAGTCTTGCACAAGGTTCAGTGTGCTTTAAAACAAATTTTAATCGGTAGGTAATTACAATTTTGATTTAGCTCAGATTTTGTATATCTGCAATTGCAGTAACAATTAAATAAAGAGAATAAACAGATTTGATTTATGTGTTTACCTTATGTCCTACTATAGTTAAATAATCCACACCTAAATTATCAACATTTACTGGTATTTTACCTATAGCTTGTGCAGCGTCAGTATGCAACAATATTCGGCTTTCATTCACAGACCTTTTTACTGCATAAAGCTTTTCACTGATTTCTTGAATTGGCTAAAACATAGATGTCAATTATCAATTCAGTAAAACATCCAATTTACTGCCAAGCAGAAAGTGGTGTCGGAATTTATGCAACTACAGTATACTGAATTAACAAGCCAACATTGAGGCTGATGTGCCCCGCCGAAATCCCCAAAATAAATAGATGAGACATATTAATTAATTTCACATTTATCTTTTACAAAAGTACTGAGCAATGAAACTGATTATCTACACTCAGTCTAAGCATAAAATTTTCTTGATCAAACAAAATCAGTCAAGGTTTTGAAGTACCTGGTAGTGAAACTATACAATAAGTTTCTCACTCTCCATCAATTAGAACCAAATTTTTTTTGTCCCATAGCATCGACCAATGAAATTGCTTAGCTTTGCTTAACTTTAGCTGGAAATGTTAATCACTGAACTCAGTCAAGACATTCACCTAATGAACATCTTCATCAAGTTTAACCATTTTACCTCAAATAAAAGCACAGTAGTTATGTTCCAAAGTCTTGACCAATAAAATTGCTTATTACTACTTATAATTAGCCTAAGCAGAAAATTCTCATCCTCAAACTTAGTTAAGGTATTGATATAATGAATCTATACTTAGAGTTTCATCGCTCTCATCCAATTAGAACCAAAGTTATCTTGTTCCAAACTCTCAACCAATCAAATTGCCTATCTCAGCTTAGCCTTAGTGGAAAATGTGCATGATAGCACTCTGTCAAGGCATTCACCTAATAGACTACACCAAGTTTGAAAATTTTACCTCAATTAGAAGGAGAGTTATTGTGTTCCAAAGTCTCGACCAATCAGACTGAAGTCTCTACTTTGCCTAAGCAGAAAATGCTCAGCATCGATCTTTGTTAAGTAAGGTATTGATGTGATGAAACTATATACAAAGCTTCATCACAATCACTCAATTAGAATCAAAGATGTTGAGGCCCAAAGTGTCGACCAATCAAATTGCTTATCGCTCTGCTTAACCTGAGCTGAAAATGCTCATTATCGAACTTAGTCAAGATATTGATGTAATGAAACTATACGCCAAGTTTCATCACTCTCACTTAATTAGAAATAAAGTTATAGTATCTCAAAGCATCAACCAATCAAATTACTTATCTCTGCTTACCCTAAGCAGAAAATGCTCATCTTCAAACTCCATCAAGGCATTGACTTAATAAACACCTACACCAGGTTTAAACATTTTAGCTCAATTAGAAGGAGATTATTGTGTCCCAAAAAGTGTGAAGGACAGACAGACGAAAATAACCATTTTAATAGTCCCCTGGCTGCTTCCTTCGAAAGGCAGGAGACAAAATCTAATCATGTGCAATTTGTTTTTACTGTCTGTATAAAAAGACACCTTTTTGTATAGTCTATTGTAGGACACCAGAACTGGTTCTTTGAAATGCTGAATGTTGAGATACATGTACCACATAAATGATTTTAGAGTTACCAACATAAACAACATATGTAGAGCTCTTGTGTTTCATAGTCGTACATAAATTGTTAACATCATAATACAATTCTTTATAAATAAATTATCAACAAGATCAACATTAAAAAGATCTGGTTGCTAAGAATGTGAGCCGTAATGAGCACCAAAGCAGATTTGATTAAAGTTAAAGTAATTTATCTCATATGATATCAGGGCCAATTAAACTTTTTGAAAAAAATATCTATATTCTACCTGTATTATACCTGTTTCATTATTAGCTAACATAATTGTTATAAGACATGTTGTGGGTTGAATAGCACTTAATATATCATCTACCTCAATACGGCCACTAGTATGTCTAGCTTTTACAAATGTAACAGCTGAAAATATTAGCATATATAGTCTTATTTTACATAAAAACTGTTGAAAATCACATTTTACCATTCAAAAGTCATCCAATATACAGTAGAATTCAATTTAGTACATTGACTTGTAACAATGAAATAACTTGTCTCACTTTATAAGATGAATAAGATCCGTTTATCTGAACCATCCAAATGCAGGGGTCAAAATTCACGACAGTACCCGCGGCAATTGCCGTAGTATCTAGCGAAATTGCCGTAGAAAATAAATAATAACCACGGCATATTTAGCCGTGGTAATTTATTTAAGAATATCACGACGGCAATTTGCCGATGTTGACAATAAAATCACCGTTCTATACGTGCGTAATCCACGGCATAATCGAAAGTAGGAATTTATGGTTTTGTTTCTTTCCCGAGTTCTCGTGACTGTATTTTTCTATCTGACCTAATTCTACCGTAACATCACATGCTCATGACTAGAATGGAAATACACACAACTCGTTGTCTAGTGTATTTAATCATTTAAGAAGTTCAAAACAATTTCCAGATATAAAGGCTATGAATAATTTACTGGAAAATATGACCAAATAAAAAAATTAGGTCGGGAAAATATTGCATATAATATAATTGTTAGCGTAAATATAGACGGGTTGTGAGAAGAAAAAAATCCAGAGGGCGTTACATGTCCGCCGCACGATGTGCATGCAATATTATAATGCCATGCACAGGTGTGAAGTCGTGTTTTGAGAATCAATTTACGGTATTATTATGGATATTTTAGAATCAGAATTCATCACCTCAACGGCGAAGTATTCATTTAAAACGCAAGTTTGGTACCACGATAATTATATTTGGTGGAATTCACGTGGATATGGATTATAGAATGTGCAAGAATTTTTAGGTCTTCTGATTTCGAAGAAATAAAACAGATTCATATTACGATGTTCATATGGACTGCGGTGTAAGTAAATTTAAGGGTGTTGTGGTGACCTAATTCTGGACAAATTCCGTAATAATATCGATATATAATAATGTATGTCAAAGTTTCCCAGTTTAAAAAAAATGCCGTAGTGACGAAAGTAAATGAAAAGTTTTGCCTTAGTGCAAATAAAAGCTGCCGTAGTGACAAAGGAATTACTGTGGCATTTTTTGAAAAAAATGCCTTCGTTCCAATTTCACGAATTTTGACCCCTGCTAATGTAAAATGATATTGATGTTAAATGAAATAGTACTTAGTTTCTAAATAACATTTACTAATATGTACATGTAAGTGTTTTCTTTTGAAAATATTTCATGAAACAAGGCCTAGAAATAAAAGTAATAGATTATCAAAAACAAGAATTAAAACTCAAAACTGAAATACATGTAATTGAGCAAGCCCAACAAATGCAATTTACCTGCCAATCCTTCTTTAATAAAATGTTGGAGAACACATTTGATAGAATCATGTTCTAAATTAGATGTTATTATATGTGGTAACTTATGAATACCATCATTTATACTTTTCTCATCTTGAAAACATAATCTATAATGTTTTATTGCTGTTTGTAATATCCAATTATTACCCTACAGAAATAAAACATAAATAAATCAATATCAGAAAACTCAAAATAATCTTTGTCTTTTACTTTAAATAGATTATAATTTATTTTATATCATATGATTATCATAAATTTGCGATATAATTTCAAAATGTAAGAGCATAAAGTAAGCTTACCTCAGTACCACCAGATGTAAATATTATATCTAAAAAAAAAAACCATCAACATATTATTGTCAGTACCACAAGGTCTGTAAGCTATAAAATGTTATTTACATATATTAATATCAATGTATGTAACCAGTTATAGACAAAATAACTTATTAAAAGAGAAATTCACTTTAATTCATAATGATGTCACAAATTTGCTTAGAAAATGATTAACGCTGCAACATTTACATTGTTTGATATAAACGAATGAAAATAAGTTCTGAAAGAATTTGTGGTGGGATCTATGTTCAATAAACCATCTACAATATCTGTGTTAAATACAACACAAACCATCTCCTCATTAGTATAAACTTTATTTACCTATTAAATATTTATAACATCAAAATAGAACTAATCATTGACAAGCATGCTCCTGAAATAATCCAGAAGATGAAAACAGGTCCTAACAACCCATGGTTCAAAGATGAGATTAAAGATGCTAGAAGAGTCAGAACAAAAGCTGAGAGGACCTGGAGGCGCACAAATCTCTTAGTCCATAAAGAAATATATAAATAAAAACAGCAAAACTAGCATTTCATAATAATAAGCTTGACAACTGTGGAAATTATCAGAAAAAAACATTTAATTTTGTAGACCATCTACTCACCAGAGAACCAGCAGTTGCCATGCAAGATACACCCACATTTTGCAAGACATGGACAGAGAACAAGCTTAAAAATAATCAATTATTCGTACAATCAGGGGCCATAATACAAAAAATTATTGTCCAATACATGTAAGTATCGATAGGAACCCAGATCTTCGGGATATAAACATATATTCTAAGTTTCATCAAAATTGGATAAGAATTGAGACCTCCAGAGGGTCCATAACCTTGCTTTTAACGACTTTTACACTATTTGCGAACAAGAAGCAGCCATTTTCGGTCTGAATTTCAAGAAATTCAAACTCAAATTGTCATCATGGCTTAACGGTGATATATTTAAACGTTTTTCTTTTAAATTGTATGAAAATTGTGACCTCAGGGGCCATAAAAAAGGAAGTTATGTTACGATCCGATATGCGTGAATATCGATAGGAACCGAGATCTGTGGGATATAAACATACATTTCAAGTTTCATCAAAGTTGGAAAAAAATTGGGATCTTTAGACGGTGCACAAACTTGTTATTACATACTTTTACAAAGAGCAGCCATTTTGTCGGGTAGGTTCGGTCCGAACCAAACCATCATTAGGGTGTCACAGTAATATATTGAAACATTTTTTAAAATCGGATAAAAACTGTGACCTCCTGCTCCAGAGGCATCACAAGCTAAAAATGAGGTTTTCGTAAAATCAGGATCAGGGCCATAATCCAGGAAGTTACAGTTCGATATGCACAAATATCAAAAGAATCCAAGATGTATTAGATATAAACAAATATTTTAAGTTTCTTCAAAATCTGATAAAAATTGTGACCTCTAGTGTCCACAAGCTAAAAACACGACCTTTCGTTCCATAAGGGCCATAATTCAGGAGTTACAGTCCAATAGGGATATAAACATTTATTTTAGGTTTCATCAAAATCGGATAAAAATTGTGACCTCTAGAGGATCCACAACCTTGGTATTACATACCTTTACACTATTTGTATATGTGGAGCGGCCATTTTGTCGGGCAGTTTTGGACCGAATTTCATGAAATTCTAACTCAACCATATTTGTATTGTAGAAGTGATGTATTTAAACGCTTTTTCAAATCAGATAAAAATTGAGACTTCTAGAGAGTCCATAATCTAAAAACATGATTTTTGCGTACAACCAGGTGCCCTAATCCATGAAGGTCAATATATATATGCTCCATTATCGAAAAGAACCGAGGTCTTTGGGACATAAACGTATATTGTAAGTCTTATCAAAATCAGATAAAAATTATGACCTCTTGATGATCCATAACCTTGCTAGTACATACTTTTACACAATTTGTGTACGAGGAGCGGTCCTTTTTTCGGGCAGTTTTGTGAAAATAAAAACGTTTTCTTGCTTAGAGGTGAAATAAAATATGTTATTCACGACAAAACGACAAATGTTCTATTTATTTTATGATTTTACAATCATTTTAGGTAAAAACAACATGGACTACTTTTACACAATTTGTGTACGAGGAGCGGTCCTTTCTTCGGGCAGTTTCGTGAAAATGAAAACGTTTTCTTGCTTAGAGGTGAAATAAAATATGTTATTCACGACAAAACGACAAATGTTCTATTTATTTTATGATTTTACAATCATTTTAGGTAAAAACAACATAGACTACTTTGTCCGCTTGGACAACGCGGGGGGTTAGACCGATTTACATCTTTATCTGCTTCTGGTGTATGAATACCTTTGAGAATGTAACGATCGACAAGTCGGCATGTCAGCCATATTGTTTTCATAATTTTGTCACTAAAAAGTGTTTTACTGGTCGTTTGTGAATGTGTGGATTATTACATTTTTCAGGACATGTTACTTTTACTGATATCGATGTGTTTATTGAAATACATGTAAGTCAAGCGATTTAAAATCATGCCACGAGCCTTGACAACAACACTTACACAACTCGACTCAACGACTTGAATTAGTGACCGTGCGTGGTGAGTTGTGACTCCAGAAAACAAAACAAAGTAGTCCCGGCGGCCAGTGAAATAACAAGTTTTATTTCACTGCTAGCCAGTGGAATAACACTTTTATTTCACTGATAAAACGCGGTATTCCACTACGGATCATAAAATAAATGCCTATATCGAAAGGAACTCAGATCTTTGGGAGATAAAACTATATTTCAAGTTGTGTCATAATAGGATAAAAATTGAGACCTGCAGACTGTCCACAAACCAGTTGTGAGAGAGGCGACGACAACATACGTCCACATGAAAATGCTGATGTATGAAAATCAAGTCTACTTCCAGAACATAGTTCAAAATAAAACTTGCAGAAAACTTTTTCCACTATTTTAATTAGACTCAAATATAAATCCAAAGCACAATGCAATAGCTGAAAATGTCTGAAACTTCCAAGTCATCTGAGCTCGACCCCTACCAACACATCTCTTGAAGCAGCACCTTGAACTGTTCCTTCCACTTTTGTGTCAAATAATCAACAAATCTCTTGAACCAGGCCTATTTCCATCTGATTGTAGCAATCATTAGACCTCATTTGAAGAAACCAAACTTGGATGCAACCACCTGGACAACACTGTTCAATCTGTCTATAAACAATTTCATAGCACCGAAAACAGCTTTAATCAAGGTAACTAGTAACATTTACAGAGCCTTGGACAAGTAATGTATCCAATTAGTCCTACTTGACTATTCCACTACTTTTGACACCCTAGACATTCTTGATCTCTGAAAAACACTATGGAATGATATTGGATTAAATGGAATTGTCTTCTCATGGTTTAAGTTTAACCTTTCTAGTCGTAGCCAGCAGTTCAGAATAATAGAACACAGTCAGAGAGCCTAGACATGCTCAGTGGTGTCCCACATGGTTCAATTCTAGGCCCTGTCCTGTTTATCATCTTCACCAAACCAGTGAATATAATCGCTGCCAAATATTGATTTATTTTCCAATACCTAACAAAAAAACATTAACTTTGATTCAATGTCTCAGCAAACAGCAATGGAAGTAATAGAATCATGTCTCCAAGAATTACAACAGTTCATGACCATGCACTTCCTGAAACTTAATCCAGAAATTCCTAGTAATCACCTCAAGGCAGCAACTTGCCATCCTCAAATGACCACAGTTGCAATTTGACAAACAGATCTTTCAACTATGAGCATCACCCAAAAATATCACAACAATGTTGTTCAACTGCATTTTATCAACTCCACAGAATATGTCACCTTTAAAAATATAAGGAGGCTTATTCTTGCCTTTATACATGTAACATCAAAGTTGAACTACCGCAATGCACTACTATACAGAATAGTAGACTATTATATTCAGAAACTTCAACATGTACAGAACTCAGCTGCAAGACTCTTAACCAAAACAAGTAAACATGAGCATATAACACCTTTTCTTTCAAAATTACATCGGCTTCCTACAAAATAGCGGATCTTCAAAATCTTACTCCATACATACAAAGGATTAAATTTTAAAATGCAGAACCACATGAAGGAAATGCTCAAACTCCATGAATCCACCCGGGGACTACGATCTTTTTCATAGGACCCTCTTGTCACACTCCGTAAAAGTTACTTTGCATTTGCAGAACCATATCTCTGAAATCAGTTACCTATTAAAATAAGGCAATCCAAATCTATCGAAACATTCATGTCAACATTGAATCATGCGCTGTATAAATAAATCCTAATATTATTACCTGAAGATTTAGCGCCTATCATTCGAGCAACATTTTGTCTTGCTGTTGATATAATCTGCTTAGCTTTTAGACCTGTGTAAATATATACCTCAGATGAAAGTATTAAACTATTTATAGCATTCATAAATAAAAAGATAGGTTGCCTGATAAGGAAACATACATCCACAGCAGCTAAATCGAGTAACAACCTATTAAGTAATTATCAGAAATCATTAAAATTTGTTTGGCTTCTAGTTCTGCCCTATAGTAACGTATACAAAACATTTAATATCAAGGGCCATAACTCTAGAAGTAATTGTCCGAAATCGTTGGAAATCAATAGGCCTTAAACACTGTATAAATTTAAAGTCAATCGGCTTCTTCGTCTCATGATCTTAAATTCTGTGTATAAATTGCTTGTGGATGCTGGATAGCGACAATATATGACTACATTTCAATATGGGTGTATAAAAATCAATACCTCTATGCATTTGAGGATTTTTTTTTATATTTTGCTAACATGTATACTTTCTAATTAAAAGTAACAAAGAAGAAGTAGAATTAATTTTAATATTGCCTGAACATTAGGCCTGCAGGCAAAAAATTCTAGCTTGCTTAAAGATAGGTTGCCATGCAACAAAACACACCCACAGCAGCTAAATCGTCTGGGCAGTCAACAAAAGTTGTCGCATATTTTTACTTTCGTCAGTAATGAAACATTTATAATACACTAAATATTGATTAAGAGTAACAACTTATTAAGTAATTATCTGAAAATCATTAGAATTTGTTTGCCCCATGCTAACGTTTAGTATACAAAACATTTAATATCATGGATTTAGCTGTTCAAGTGAACAAAAATCATTGAAAATCAATATACTTGTTCGTCTCAAGACCTTAAACTCTGTGTATCAATCTAAAGTCAATCAAAACGATAATATATAGGCAGGTGCATAAATATAAAATTATGACCTGATGACCTTAAACATTGTGTATAAATTTAAAGTCAATCGGATATTAACTTTAGCCTCTAGAGCGTCCACAAGATTTTTCAAAGTGATCAAGGACAATAACTCTGTCAGTGATGATCGGAAATTGGTGAAAATCAATAGGTTTCCTCGCCTCATGACCTTATAAATTTAAAGTCACTCAGTTAAAACTTTAGCCTCTAGAGCGTCCACAAGCAATTATGGATGCCGGACCGACAGACCCGACCGAACAAAGGACTGGGGGCGATGACAATATACGACCACATTTCAATGTGGGTGTATAAAAACACAATTCCACCACAAGGTCCTCGAGGTTAAACAAACTATACATTTTTGGAAAGTTTATAACACCGGGAAAAAAATAATGAGAGTTCCAAGCAAAGTGTTTGCAATAACTCGATTTACAGCCTGATGATAATCGTCACAATTGCCGAGTCCATGCTATAGTTAGTTATACTAAAAATTCTGAAGTTGGTATAAAATTAAATATTTTGGAATTATCTCTCTTCAGTCAAATGTCTGCAATTGATAACAGTATATCAGGTGCGTGCTGGCTGCTTATGCTGTATGGTGCACAAGACTTGTGTGAGCACACAAGTGTGAAGCCCAATGTCCATATCATTAACAGGGTCCCAGGGGCCTGCGCAGGTTGGTGGGCGGGTGTTTACCAGAAATCATGGGCTCGGTGGATAGAATCTGAAGTTCCAGGAGATATGTTGACATTGGTTGAGCTATATGGTTATGAAGTAATGGAGACCAGAATCTGTCAGTAGTATTGTAAATCGCATTGAAACCATGCCACCTTTCCACTAAAATATAAACCCACATACCCTTTCAATAATTAGTGTCTACAGTATTTTTACTACATGTAGCTGTAAACCTCTATTTCAAATAAGATTTAAGGCTAGTTACAATCATATTTAAACTGAAACCATATCTATCATTGTGTAATTTCCTAACAAATATAGATATATGAAAAAAACTAATTATTTATTAAGTAAAACAATCATTAAAAACCAAAATTACGCAGTTACTCTTCACTTTAAATATCATCAAAGTTAGTCAACATCATCATCATCGCTATCACTGCATGTATGTACATCAAATTTGGTCTCTTTATTAACAGTCATTTGGTTTCATTTTCACATTGACTACACTTACAGTGGCACAGGACAAGAGGGGGTGGTTAGGACAGTGACTAGTCATTCAATAGTTTAAACAATATTTGATTCAACAAACTCAATCGGATTGAACAACAGGCAAGGGGCTACATAAATTCTCTCAAAGTCAAAACAGTATTTCTATTAGTATATCTGGAAACCTTTAGTTCAGGTATGATTTGAGGCTAAATTCCAAACAAATACTTGAATTGAAACAAAACATCTATAAATATTTAGTTTCGCATTAAGATAGATATATGGCAAAAAGTAAATAACACTGTAAGGGAGTGGCAATTGTAATGAAGAGAAAACAAGCCAACAGTGAGGCTGATGTCCCCCACTGAAATCCCAAAATAAATAGATGACACATATTAATTAATCGTACATTTATTTTTTTCAAAAGTATTGAGCAATCAAACTACACACTAAGTTTCATCACTCTCTATCAGAAAGAATCAAGATTATCTTGTCCCAAAGCATCGACCAATGAAATTGATTAGCTCTAGCTTGAAATGTTAATCATTGAAATCAGTCAAGACATTCACCTAATGAACATTTACATCAGGTTTAAACATTCTACCTCAATTTTTAAGCAGAGTTATTGTGTTCCAATCAAATTGCTTATCGCTCTGCTTACCCTCAGCAGAAAATGTTCATTATCGAACTTAGTCAAGGTATTGATGTAATAAAGCTATACACCAAGTGTCCTCACTCTCACTTAATTAGAACTAAAGTTATCTTGTCCCAAAGCATCAACCAATCAAATTGCTTATCTCTGCGTACCCTAAGCAGAAAATGCTCATCTTCGAACTCCAACAAGTCATTGACCCAATAAATACCTACACCAAGTTTGAACATTCTAGCTCAATTAGAAGGAGAGTTATTGTGTTCCAAAATCTTGGCCAATCAAATTGCTTATCGCTCTGCTTACCCTGAGCAGAAAATGATCATTAACAAACTTAGTCAAGTTATTGATGTAATGAAACTATACACCAAGTTTCATCACTCTCACTTAATTAGAACTAAAGTTATCGTGTCCCAAACCATCAACCAAATTGCTTATCTCCACTTACCCTAAGCGGAAAATGCTCATCTTCGAACTACATCAAGGTATTGACCTAATAAACACCTACACCAAGTTTGAACATTCTAGCTCAATTAGAAAGAGAGTTATTGTGTTCCAAAAAGTGTGACGGACAGACGGATGAACCCATTTTAATAGTCCCCTGCTTTCTTTGAAAGGCGGGGGACGGGGACAAAAAATCAAACAGAGTTTTATGTCTTACTGTTCAGTATCAGCTGGGATAATGAAGATGCACCAGTACATACACCATGCATTAAAGGGACTATCCCGATTTCAAAAGAGTGTCAAAAATAAAAGTCTGAGTACGTATGAAATTTAAGCGCCAAAATATAGAGGAATGGTGTATTTACCTTCTCTCAAAATTCCAGCTTGAAATATTGAGTAGTTTGGACGTGAACGTCAAAACTGCTTATCCGGACACGTAACCCTTTTAAGATTTCGGGTCAGTTTTTTTGTTGGGTGACCTGATAATCGATTCCCGTTCCTTGAGAGGTCTATATAGTGAATGGCCCATGTGCTCTACTTGACAACGAAAGGTAAATTTCACCTACACATTATTATTATAAAATAAAAATCTAGTTTTATGCAGACACCGCATAATACAGCTTGGGACACTGGTCTCCATTTCCAGATGAAGACTGGCGGGTTTAAGTTGTTTGAAAACGTATCACAAATAGTGAGTTAGTTGCTCGGCCCTTAGCTAGAGGAATTTAAGGGATTTTAACACAAAATTAAGCAGTTTCATTCTGCAAAGAATATCGGGATTAGCCCTTTAAGCTATAGGGAGAATTTGGTCCAAACAGAACAGATTTCGTTTCTCTTCATTACAATATTGTCACTCCTATTACAGTATTGTTTAGTTTTGGCCATATAACTCCTTGTACCGTAAATGGATTTCCAAAATTCTGTATGTCCCCTTGTCAATTATGTTTTGGTTTAAATTTATGTCAACTTCACAATTATTAGTACAAATATAGCATTTACTTGACACTTACGACAATTTTCATCAGGCTATAATTCAAGTTATTGCAAACATTTTGCCAAGGAACTCCAAGGATCTGTGTTCCTGGTGTTATAAGCTTTCCACAAATGTATAGTTTGTTTAGCTTCGAGGACCTTTTTGTAGCGGAAATTCATGCTAGAAATTTTGGCTGTACATATAATATATGTATAATAAATATATACAAAACCATGATCAAGAGACTGTTGTCCTTTTTTACCTGCAGTGTGAGAACTTGAAGGATTGGCCCAGGCATCTTTTAAAGCATCTGTTATTGAAATCAAAACTTCATCAGCTAAGGGCGTTGTGGCATTATAATCTAAGTAAATACTGCAATCATAAAGAAAGTTATTGGGAAATTAAATTGTAGATATAGTCATTGGACATAATTATTACTTAATACAACAAGTTACTAAAGAAATACACCAGCGGCTGCCAGACAGGATACGCCCACATTTTCGAGAGATGGATAGAGAACAAGCTAAAAAGAAAGTGATTTTTCCTGCAATCAAGGGCCATAATTCACGAAGTTACACAACCTTGATATATCATATTTTTACACCATTCGCGTACAAGCGGCGGCCATTTTGTCTGGCAGTTTTGGTTTAATTTTCAGGAAATTCGAACTCAAGCTTTATTACTGTGTAACGGTGATATATTCAAACGATTTTTAAAATCAGATAATAACTCTGACCTTCAGAGGGACCACAAGCTAAAAAAGGTGATTTTTCGTGTAATCAGGGGCCATAATTCAGGAAGTTACAATTCGATATGCAACAATACCGAAAGGAACCAAGATCTTTAGGTTATAAACATGCATTTCTAGTTTCATCAAAATCGAATTAAAATTGTGACCTTTACAGGGTCCATAACCTTGATATACCATATTTTTACACTATTAGCGTACAAGCACCGTCTTTTTTGTCCGGCAATTTTGGTCCGATTTTCACGAAATTCGAACTCAACCTTCCTTACGGTGTAACGGTGATATAATCAAACGTTTTTTTAAATCGGATAATAATTGTGACCTTCAGAGGGACCACAAGCTAAAAAAGGCGATTTTTCTGATAATCAGGGGCCATAATTCAGGAAGTTTTGATCTAATATGCGCAAATATTGAAAGGAACCAAGATCTTTAGGTTATAAACATGCATTTCAAGTTTCATCAAAATCGGATTAAAATTGTGACCTCTACAGGGTCCACAACCTTGATATACCATATTTTTACACTTTTCGCGTACCATCGGCGGCCATTTTGGTCCTATTTTTACGAAATTCGAACTCAGCCTTCCTTATGGTGTAACAGTGATATAATCAAATGTTTTTTTAAATCGGATAATAATTGTGGACCACAAGCTAAACCAGCGGCTGCCAGGCAGGATACGCCCACATTTTCGAGAGATGGATAGAGAACAAGCTAAAAAGAAAGTGATTTTTCCTGCAATCAAGGGCCATAATTCAGGAAATTACAATTCGAATTGTGCAAATATCGAAAGGAACCGAGATCTTTGTGTTATAAACTTACATTTCAAGTTTCAACAACATCGGATTAAAATTGTGACCTCTATAGGGTCCACAACCTTGATATACCATATTTTTACGCTATTTGAGAACGAAGGGCGGCCATTTTGTCTGTCAGTTTTGGGCCGATTTTCACGAAAAATTCAAACTCAGCCGTCCTTAGGGTGTAACGGTGATATAATAATACGTTTTTTTAAATCGGATAAAAATTATGACCTCTATAGGGTCCACAAGCTAAAAACGCAATTTTTCGTACAATCAGTGGCCATAATTGAGGAAGTTACTATCCGATATGCGCGAATATCGAAAGGAAGCCAGATCTTTGGGTTATAAACTTACATTTCAAGTTTCAACAAGATCGGATAAAAATTGTGACCTCTATAGGGTCCACAACCTTGATATACCATATTTTTACGCAATTTGAGAACGAACGGCGGCCATTTTGTCTGTCAGTTTGGGGCCGATTTTCACGAAATTCCAACTCAGCCTTCCTTAGGGTGTAACGGTGATATAATAATACGTTTTTTTAAATCGGATAAAAATGATGACCTCTATAGGGTCCACAAGCTAAAAACGTGATTTTTCGTACAATCAGGGGCCATAATTCAGGAAGTTACATTTCAAGTTTCAACAAAATCGGATAAAAATTGTGACCTCTATAGGGTCCACAAGCTAAAAACGTGATTTTTCGTACAATCAGGGGCCATAATCCATGAAGTTTCGATCCGATACATGCCAATATCGAAAGCAGCCGAGATCTTTTGGGAATAAACCTATATTTCAAGTTTCGTCAAAATCGGATAAGAATTGTGACCTGCAGAGAGTCCACAAACAATTGTGGACGGATGGACAGGGGCGACGGCATAATACGTCCACATGAAAATGTGGGCATATAAAAAGGCGATTTTTCGGACAAACGGGCCATAATTCAGGAAGTTACAATCCGATGGGCACAAATATCGAAAGTAACCAAGATCTTTGGGTTATAAACATGCATGTCAAGTTTCATAAAAATCGGTTCAAAATTGTGACTTCCATAGGGTCCACAAGCTAACCAGCGGCTGCCAGACAGGATATACCCCCATTTTGCAAGAGATGGATAGAGAACAAGCTAAAAACGAACAGGATTTTTTGTACAATCAGGGGCAATAATCCAGAAAATTATGGTCTGAAATGTGAAAATATCAAAAGGGACAGAGATCTTTGGGATATAAAGATATGATTTAAGTTTCATCAGAATCAGACAAAAATTGTGACCTCTAGAGGGTCAACACCCTTCGTATTGCATACTTTTACACAATTTGCGTACAAAGAGCGGACATTTTGTTGGGCAGTTTCATTTCTATTTTCCCGAAATTTGAATTCAACCTTCATTATGGTGGAATGGTGAAATATTTAAACGGTTTTAGAAATCGGAAAAAAAATTGTGACCTTTAGAGAATCCGCAAGCTAAAAATGCCATTTTTCGAACAATCAGGGGCCATAATCCAGGAAGTTAAGTTCGGGTATCCGCGATTATCAAAAGGATCCATGATCTTAGTGTGTAATGGTGATATATTCACACATTTTTTTTAAATCAGATAAAAATTGTGACCTCTACAAGGGCCACAAGCTAAAAATACGATTTTTCGTGAAATGAAATGAAATGGAATGGGGTTTAACGTCCTACTGTTCTGCTCCTATACTGGGCTTATGAAGACGGGCATATGCCATACAGTGTGCTATGAGGGAAATTTTGCCCGGGCAGCGGCACTATCGCCTACTCTTATATCGAATTCCAACTGCCAGGGGATCTTTTACGTGCATTCCAATATATACACGGGACCTCGGTTTTTCGTCTCATCCGAAGGACTAGACAGCTGTCCTTGTCAGGCCCTCCGTTCTGCACCACGTCGGAAAAACGATTTTTCGTACAATCAAGGGCCATAATTCAGGAAGTTACTATCCGATATGCCGAATATCGAAAGGAACCAAGATCTTTGGGCTATTTACTTACATTTCAAGTTTCATCAAAATCAAAAGAAAATTGTGAACTCTAGATGGTCCACAACACTGATATACCATATTTTTATACTTTAGTAAAAATCAATAAAAAAGTCAATGCAAAAACAATAGAAACGTTGTTTGTTTACTATGCTGCAACATGCAGATCTTAAAGATAATTTGGATTGGTTTGTAGATAAAGCCTTCAATGGAGCTTTCGGGAAAGGCAGAAACTTGATCGCCATTTATGCAGAAGATGCTAAATGGATTATAAAACATCGCAATGCCGACACTGTAGTTTTTGATAAAGAAAAATTTCAAAACATCATACATTTCCTTATTGACAATGCCATATTTAAGATTGGGGATCAGATAATACAGTAAACCATTGGTTTACCAATGGGAACTGACCCCGCCCCATATATTGCAAATGCACATTTATATAAATACGAATTCTACTTTCAAGACCATAAAAGAAAAAAAGATTATTATTATTATTATTACAGCATATTTATAGTGCACCCTTTCATGTAACATGTTCAGGGGCACTTTACAAAGTGACAATGTAAATCACACATAAACAACAAGATTATGGGCATGTTAACGATTGTCTACAGAGTCAGTTAAAAGCCTGATTAAATAAATGTGTTTTAAGTTGTTTTTTAAAAGAATATAGAGATGTACAACATCTTAAACTAAATGGTAGATTATTCCATAAAACATGTGCTTGATAACTAAAAGAGCGCTGACCATAAGAGACTAGTTGAACAGTTTTGGGCTTTAAAAGTAGTTTATCTGATGTACGTAATGTTCGGCCAGGTGTATAAAGTTCTAAAAGATCTGAGAGGTAAACAGGAGCTAAATTATTTTAACATTTAAAAGTAAGTAATAAAATCTTAAAATCAATTCGATATTTAACAGGTAACCAGTGTAAATTATATAAAACAGGAGTTATGTGGTCACATTTCTTAGTTAAAGTAACAAGTCTAGCCGCAGTATTCTGTACTTTTTGTAATTTATCTATAAGTTTTAAAGGTAAACCAACTAAAAGTGAATTAAAGTTATCTAATCGTGAAGTGACTAGAGAATTAACAAGTGACTTAGTGGCCTCTACAGTTACACATTTACGTATTTTACCTATATTTCTAATATTAAAATAGCACAATTTACAAATATTATTTACTTGAGCTCCCATAAGCATAAAATTATCAAAGATAGCGCCAATATTACGAGCAGAATAAGATGAAAATATATCACAATTACCAATTACAACAGGGGGGTTATCTTGTGCAGATTTACTTAATTGATGCCTTGAGCCTAATACCAAATATTCGGTTTTATCATCATTCAATTTTAGAAAGTTCTTTGACATCCATTTTCTAATTTCACTAATACAGTTCTCAAGTTGCAATTTTGATAAATTGAAAGAAGATGGACAATTAGGTGTAAATGAAATATATAATTGAGTATCATCGTCATACAAATGAAAGCTGAGACCATATTTTCTGACAATATCTCCTAATGGTGACGTATAGAGGGTAAATAAAATCGGACCAAGAACAGAACCTTGGGGAACCCCAGATGACAAAACAGATTCAGACGACGATTTGCAATTAACTAAAATACACTGTTTTCTACCCACAAGATAGCTCTCTAAAAGATTTAATGCAGAGCCACAAATACCGAATTTAAATTGAAGTCTACGTAGAAGAATGGAAGGGTCCACCGTGTCGAAAGCAGCAGATAAATCTAATAAAATTAAAAATGTACATTTTCTATTATCAATTTCCATTAAAATATCATTTGAAACCCGGGTTAAAGCTGTT